GGATTCAATGAAGTTAGATTTGTTATACATGATATAGATAGTGAACTGAATGTAAGATACCGGCAGTAGTCCCCGCCAGCAGTTGTTCCGGTACTATGTATCATGCGTTGAAGATGGAAAAAGAATCATCACACTAATTTTGTCAACAGTTTTGGGAACTAAAAACGGAAAACACGATTTATGGCGAACAGGTTATTTTACAAATCAACAAAATAATAACAGAGCAAACAAACTGAAAATTCACCGCCCAATCGACAGACAACTTTAAACCTAAGCGATCGCATCTCCCGATTCAGTTCAGCACTCGCTGTGACTTCTATCCCCCTCATTGCCATTCAAATCAAATACTGTAAAGGGGGTAATTATTCACTGGGTTTTAATTTAGCTTATTTCGCTGACTGGAAAAATGCGCTAAATTAAAACACAGTGAATATGTAAAATTTAGCATAGAACACATTATCCAAATGACGAAACCGTGAATTTAAAACCCACTGAATATGCCTGAAATGGTAAATCAGTGAAATTTAAACCCAGTGAAAATTAGTCATTTTACAGTAATACAGATCTTCGTCGAGACATCTTGTGTAGTAAAACAAAAATCTTGGAAAGAAAACTACATGTAGTTGACTCTGGTGGTGCGTTCAGCCACGGTTATTGGTTCAGCAGCTGAGCAAGAGAATGACCTTCCATGGAGGACAATGTATGGTAAGAAAAGGAGTGTCACCTCCCACAACTTAATAATGAATATGTAAATCATGACGTCATTTTGGCGCGGCTTTGTCACGCTGTGAAACAGTGTTTCCTATTGGATTCGGGAGCATAATTTCGTACTTTATAACCAATTGCGACCACGCATATCCACACATTTAAGTGATTATGACAGACAGATATCATGACTATTCATTATGAGTTTGTTTTGATCCATGGGACAAACGGATTTTGAGTAAGCCGACGATACGTTGCTAAGTTGTTTTTGCAGTTTTCTCGGTTAAACAAAACAGCGATTCACGACAACTGCAGGCCTTTGATCTCGAGTTTTAGTGGACGCATTATACTAATTTTTCGCACAGACACTCTTCGATATGTTCCCTCTCAAGCCGCGCTGGGATTTTTCTATTTTCCTATTTGTTTCGAAATTACGTTCTAATTTCTGAATACCGGAAAGAACCAGATCGCATTGTTTTTTCAAAATAGCTAAATTATTATTTCTTCTCCAACTATCATGTCGATATATATCTCAATTAACGCGGAATGGTGGTGAGCGTCGTCTGAAAAACTGTTTTGTTGCCAATGTTCCACTAAATTTGTTTATTCATTGGTTCAATTATTTTTTACCAAAAATGGCTTTCTGTGTTTACACAGAGATCACGTGACTATACACGTCCATACACACACTATCTTGTCGATTTCATATCCAGTGTGAAATAAGCTTTCCAT